TTGATAGGAGTAATAAAACACTTGGCCCATAATATTCATCTGGTACATTGACAAAGCCCCCAATTTATAGTCTATATATAGGGTTTGGATTAAGAGTGTTTAGGTTTGGTGGACTTTGAGACTAATTTTGGTGATTAAAATTGTTCAACTTTTAGGATTTATTAAAAAATCAAGATAATCCAACATCGATAGATAATCCAACATCAAGGGTAGGTCCACTCTAAGGCTCACCTTGAAACTTTTTTTTTTTTTAATTTGTTATTAAACTTAATTTGTTTGAGTCTTATTTCTCACTATTCTTATTAAACTTTCTGTCTCATTTTAAAAGTTTTTTTTTTAAATATTATTTATGTATTGTATTTAATGTGATTGTAGTTCATTAAATTTTATTGTAATATCATATATAAAAAAATTATGGCTATGCCATTTCAGGAAATGAGTAAAGTAGTCTTAACTAACGTTCTTTTCCCTTAATCAACAAATACATTTTTTTTAATGGAAATGAAGAAAACAATACAATCATTAATAAAATAGGAAAAATCATGTGGTTCCAAAAAACTCATTAGAATTTAGGTCTATGGTAGAGATATAAACCATAGACCTAAATTTCTAATAAATTTTCTAGTAAAATCTCTATTGAGGGGTTGAATATTGATCATTGATAATGAATTCTAGGAATATATATATATATATATATATTTTTTATATTGATCGTTGATAATGAATTTTAGGTATTTTTCTAATTTCTAATAAAAGAGTAGCTTTGACTATGGCGTTTTCTGTTTGAGGATATTGTTTGAAAAGATGAAAGAAAATTGACACTTGAAAACAACATTTTTGTGCTATTTTAAGCTAATCAAATAAATAAAGAGAAATAATAATTCAATGTAAGTTTAGAAAAATGTCAGATAAGTGACAAGCTTCACAAATTCTAAAGTATCACTAATTTGTAATTTTTTCAATAAATAAAGCCTTACCTATGAGATTATGGGTTAGTCAAATTATACATAAAGTAGTATGATGTAGGGGTGCTCAACGGATATTTTGATCCGTCCAAACTGACCGAACCAAACTGATTCGCCGTATTTTGGACGGATGTGAGATGACGAACGGACAGTTGCGGACTGATTTTTTCCAATCTGCCTAATTTTGGATAGATGGCAGATTTCAGGTTCCTTTACCAGCAACCAAACTGCCAAACTGCGAGCATCCCTAATAATTTGTAAGACTTTGTGTTTTCAATTTGTTTAAATATTCTATTTGCATTTTCAATTGAAAAAGAGTTTAGGTATTCTATTGTGTTTTCAATTTGAAAATCCTTTTATCAAATGACAAATGTTGATATTTGATATTTTTGTGTGGAAAATATAAGGCTTAATTTTGTCATTTAAAAAAAAATCAAATAAAATAATTTTTGAATAATTGAAAAGTAATGAATTAGCTTTGATAATGCATCATTTTCTTATATATATATATATATATATATATACATATGTATATTAAAGGGTAAATAGCATTAACATCTCTTGAAGTTTCAAAATCAAGCACCAAGACCCCCATTGTTCAGAAAATAGGCAGGGACATTCCCCTGCCATAGCAATCTAAGAAGAGTTAACTGTTGGCAAAGTTAACAGTACAAAATAACCTCTTAACCCTCATATGCAATAAAATAAGGGGTAAATTACACTGACCTCCCTTGAGGTTTGGAGAAAATATAGGAAGCCCCACAATCTTGACATAATTACATTGAGCTCCCTTGAGATTTTAATTCATATAACAGTCAGCCCCCTTTTCGTTGTTTATTTTTGTGTTTTCGCACCATTTACATTGACCTCCTTTTCAGTAAAGTTAAATGGATTGAAACTAATGCAAATGGTGCGAAAAATAAACAACGAAAAGGGGGCTGACTGTTATATGAATTAAAATCTCAAGGGAGCTCAATGTAATTATGTCAAGATTGTGGGGCTTCCTATATTTTCTCCAAACCTCAAGGGAGGTCAGTGTAATTTACCCCTTATTTTATTGCATATGAGGGTTAAGAGGTTATTTTGTACTGTTAACTTTGCCAACAGTTAACTCTTCTTAGATTGCTATGGCAGGGGAATGTCCCTGCCTATTTTCGGAACAATGGGGGTCTTGGTGCTTGATTTTGAAACTTCAAGAGATGTTAATGCTATTTACCCTTTAATATACATATGTATATATATATATATAATGGTTGACCAGGGTTTAGTTCTATCCAATTGTACTTGGTACAGTAAACATTGACACCAAACTTTTATCATAATTACTATTTCATTACTCCTATCCCAAATTAGTTGTCCATCTCCCTTTTGGAATTCCCAAAAGTATTGTCCACTTCGAAAGCAAATAGACATGATTTATATCTTTTTTAAGTTACTTACTCGTTTTGTTTCTTGGTTAGAAGACAAGTTTTTTTGAGTTTTGCGTGCGTGGGTGTCAGGGGGTCTGGATCCTGATTTGTTTACTTTTCTAGATTTCCTTGATGATCTAATTGGTAAGTTTGTTTTCCCCTTTTGGGGCTCCTGAGTTTTGTATTCTTTAGCATCTTCTTGATGCTCCTTCTTCAATAAAGTTTATTTATCAAAAAAAAAAAAAATGTTAATGACGATAGTTTGAAAATTGATATGTTTCTGGTTGAATGTCATTGAATTACATGAGTGAGGTCTTTTAAATAGTTCAATTTTGTAGGATTGACAAATGACAAACAATTCAGGATGGTGAGTTAGTTGCTTTCAAACATCAGTAATTATCTAGCTTTGTATTCTTGAAGTCATGCATGTCCATGTTAATCATATTAATATGTTCTCTTGTGAGGCCCACACTCAAATTTTTTGCATTGTGCCTTGTGCTTTAGGCAACTGAAATGCTTGACTTCATGTTTTTTGGCTCATGTGTTGTGTTTTAGGCAACTAAAATGCTTGACTTCACACCTTTGGTGCTTCTTCTTTGAAGACACTACGTAATAATGTGTATAAATTTGTTTGTGTCTCGGTTGCATGAATTATATTTTTAAAAACTAGCTAAAATATTTTACACTAAGATTTTCTTTATTTGTTGAGGCTGGGTCAAAATCACTAAAATGCCTGAGCCAACTTTGCCAACTATTGATGCTTGTCATAAGAGTTGATTGCTTTGAGCCCAAACTTGTTGGGATCTAAACTAGGCCAAGCCAAGTTTAGCCAGGCTGGATGATGTCCTGATGGGCTCACATTCCAGGAAATTTATTCAGCTTGTTTGGTTTTGATTTTCAGAAAACAATTTTCAAAAAATTTTACTTTTTTATTTTCCATATTTTAATGTTTTCAATGATTTTTTTTAATATTTTAAGCATTTTTTATTTTTTAATATTTGTGAAAAAAATCTTTAAAAAATACACTAAATACCAAAAAATATTAAAAAATACAAAAAATTCAGTACATTTTTTTTTTTGTATTTTTGTGTATTTATTAATATTTTAAAATATATTTTCACAAATATTTTACTATTTAGATACATCTACGTAAGGTGCCTCTAAAAAAGTAAAACAATTACTTAAAATTTAAAAAATATTCACTAAAAACAAAAAAAAACACGAAAAACAACAAACTACTGAAACCAAACACACTGATTTCATGATATTATTGAAGCGAATAATTTTACCTTTTTATCATGTTAATTCTAGCTAATCTGTTGAAAATTTTAGGTGTGCCTATAAGGACGGTCAATAGACCCGGATCACAGTTATTAGGAGCAAACGGTCGTGATGATGGTCCCAAGGTGAATCTTCTCTCTTCCTTTTTTGTTTTGAGCAATCTTTATTCATTTCTGCAGAAAATATTTCTCATTTGAATGGATCCATTAACATTAATGAAACCATGTTGGAAAAAAAAATTATTTATCAAAAAAAAAAAATTGTTGAAAAAAAGAAATTACAAGGCAATTTTCCTATTGAAACATATAGAGCCATAGATATGCTCATATTTGTTTTATTATCTTTATTCGAGCATTGCTTGATTGCCACATATTTTTCCTTTTTGCATATATATTGGTTGCAAGCATAATTGAGCCATCCATAAATTTAAGGTTTAATTCTAAGCTAACTTTTTGTTTCCTTGGCAGATTGCATTTTACTTGAGCGAGGGAATTAATCAAATTTCTTTGTTAGGATGTGATGCTCGAAGTTTTTGCCTAGGTGTTAGACTCGTAAAGCAACGTGTGATTCAACAGGTAATCCTAATGATGCTATGAATGAGTTGATCCTTGATAAAATCACTATTGCAATATCTTGGGAAGTTGTGTTGTTGGGAATTGTACAAGATGAATTATTGTGGTAGTGGGCCTTTGGTGATTTGAATACTGTATCTATCTATCATTGATTGTGGCTTATATTGGAGAAAATTTATGAGTATTCTATCATAAATTCTGGCTTATTTTCCTTTTCATAGCTTTTGTTATTCTTGAATAGTTTGTATGTAAGGTCATTGTTTCCCTTAAATATGGATATACTTATCAAGTGAATATATATATATGTGTGTGTGTGTAAATCATGTTGTTCTAGTGATCGTGGGCAGGAGTCAATATTCTTGGATTTCAATCAAACAATAATCATGAAGGAAAGCAATCTTCTTTCACGCAATCTTTAATCTGTGCTTTATTATGACATGAGGGAGTAGTATTGTTTGACAATGAATGAACTCTACAGGCTCACTAGCTCTTGATATATTATCTATTTGGCTTTGATTTATATGTTATTAAGTTTGTTACATATTCCAAGAATTATCGATTTTTCCCAATATTTTCTACTTACTGTAGGACATTACAAGAAAATCTCTTCTCTTCGCTCTCTTGATTAACTTTCCTTCCATTTTCATCTCACTAAAAGATTTTGTTTGTTTGTTGTATTTAATCTCTAGATTCTCAGCTTGATTCCCAAAGAGCAAGATGGTGAACCTTTTGAAGATGCACTTGCCCGCATTTGTCGGTCGATTGGTGGTGGCATGGCCATGGCAAATGATGATAGTGATGATGATTTGGAAGTTATTGCAGACTCTGTTGCAGTTAATCTCCGTTGCCCTGTAAGTGGTTATCCTTTTGTTAACTTTTGGGGTTATCTTCCTCCACTTGCATGTTGATGCGTCTCCTTGGACGGTGATTTAGATAGATTGACTCACTTGAACATTGATTTTTTGAAATACTTATTTAATATTGAACCACGGAACAGACTTTATTCCATTGCACTTGAGTCCCCATATTCACCTAAACCATAATAGGAATCTCTGTCATTCATTGTTTAGTAATTTCAAATTTAATCCGAGCGTTGTTATCTTATAGTTATGTCAATTTGGGACTTGGACTGGATTCTCATCTTCTGTTATCTGTCATCATTTTTTATGCTGAGAGCATTGATTCATCAACAATGAGGGTTGCCATGACCAACATACCAATTTGTTTATGTTCAATACTTTGCTATCCACTTTTAAGTGGTAGAGACCTCCATTTGGGAAAGAAAAATATCAACATACATGGATTGGAGTCTAAATAAAATACATATGAAACTGACTCTGTAGGATCATCTCCCATTTTATACGATGATATGACCAATTGCATGAGGTTTAAAGAGAGAAGGTGTCTCTATACATATGTTATGTGCAACGAGAAACTATGTTTTAATTTCTTTTCATGGGACTTTAAAAATAGTTCCGAGGTTTAGGGTGTGTGGAGAGTCCTTTCTTATTGTTCTCTTGTTTCATAATCAAGTTAGTTACTTCTTTCAAGATGTTTTTCCTACTACTCAATTCCAGACCGATGCACAGGCACGGACTTGGGACATGACACGGATGACACACAAATTTTCAAAAAACAGGGGACTTGACACGTTGGAGACACGTTCAATATATATATAATTTTATTTATTTATTATATGTCTAAAATTAAAAAAAAAAATCATTGGCAGGTAATTAAAAATGCAAAATGACACTAACAAAAATTTTTTAAAAAAACATATATTTCATTACTTACATGTCCTTCTAATGTGTCAACCATCATTGGTTACAAATTGATTTTTTCCTACAAATAAAAATTTGTTCCGGTAAAGTACCAAAAAAATTAAAAATGAAAAAAAGAGGGGAAAAAAAGAGAAGAATTTGAGGTATAAAATAAAAAAATATTGTAAACACCAGAGATTGAGAGAAGAAAAAGAAAAGAAAAAGGAAAAAAAAGAAAAAAAGAAAACAAGAAACAGAGTTAAGTCAGAAGAGAGATGAATAGGAAGTGTGAGTGAGAGTGTGAGAGAGACGAATTGGTAAAGAGATACGAACTGCTAGAGAGACGAATAACAGAGAGAGAGAGAGAGAGGGAGAGACGAATTGCGAAGTGAAGAAACAAGAAGAAAAACGAAGCAAAGAAGAACGAAGAAGAAAAAGGAAGAAAGAAGAGCATACCTCAATCTAGGGCTTCAACAGTTTCGTCTTCACCTTCTTAGGCTTCAATATCTCCTTCTTCACCCTCTTTCTCCTTCTCTCTCTCTCTCTTCAATAATTTAGGGTTTATTTCAGAAATCAATTTTTATGTTTTTTCACATTTACCCTTACGAGTTCTAAAAATTACATTTTGGACCCTGTAAGTGTCCAAACGTGTCCCGTAAGTGTCCATAATGTGTCTGGCTAGAAAAATTAAAAAAAAAAAACAAAAAAATGGGGACACCTCCCATAGAGTATCTGACACGTGTCCACCACCTGTCCGGCGCGTGTCCGTGTTCGACATGTGTCGGACACCCCTACACTGCCTCCAGAGAGGTGTTTGTGTTTTATAGATTTCAGATATAGGTTGACTTGAACATTTCTTAGAAAGAGCTTTTTCCTTTGGGCTATTCTCTAATGGATTGCAGAGCATACAACATTTTCCCTTCATTCTAATATGTTAAGGGTCATGCTAAGATGACTCTGGAAAGAAGATTCAAATTAAGGGGTCATGTTTTGTTAAATCTTAGTAGGAGTTTGACCTTTTGCGAGTCATATATCCTTGATTTGGTCTAATGTTACAAGAAAGGTTGCTCAATATGCTTTTGTTGTGATTGGGGAGAGACTTTTTCTAATAATTGTAGGAAGTCCGTAAACCCACATCATATCACTGCCCCAATGCATTTTAGCCCAACATATTTGAGGGAGTTTGTAACTTTTAGGTATTAGGAGTACGACTCCAATTGGTGCAACTTATTATGACTTTTTTTGGGTGCAGGTGCAGCTTCTAGTTATAACTTTTGAGTCAAAATTGATTTAAATAAGTTGAAAAAGTTGATTATTTAAAACTATGGAGGGGATGCTTTTAGATATTAGCTTGTCAAAAGCTAAACCAAATGGGGCCGTAAATATGCTAAATAGCCCTCCAAGTTGAACTAGAAGAGAGTGTTGAGTTGAAACACAACGAATTTCACAAAAGTAATTTTTATTAATCCTAGCCATCCATAGAGGAGGATGGCTAGGATTAATTTGATCCTAAGGTCATTATTAGTCTTCCAGAATATTTTAGGATACCCTCATCCTTCCACTTTATTCAAGAATTCTCTAGATTATGCTAGTACATAGTGGATTTTTTTATACTTCCGTAGAATATTCCAGATAGTTCTTGACCTTCTAGATTTGTCTAGATTTCTCCAAGGTTCTCTAATATTCTGGATTCTTCTAGAATGTTTTAGAATCTTCCGGATTTCTCCAGAACTTTTCGTAGTCTTCTAGATTCTTCAACATTGTAAAATGTCACAGAAAAATTCTTAGGGGAGAGAGTGTGTGTAGTTGATAGCCTAGATAATTCTAGAAGAGTCAATGGTGACTCTTAACAGAGACTTCATTTCATAACACTTTTACCTAAGACCAAAACTACTTAGAGCCTTGGTAGTTGCAAACCAATCTTCCCAAACTCCATTTAAAAAGTGTAGTTAGTGAGTATGGGTATGTATCCATAGGGACTATTGTATATTTAATAACTATTTTAATTATTACTTGTCAAACTAGTTTAATGAATGGCTGGTTGATTGTTGGTGATAACAATTTATAAAACCCTAATTAAATAAGAAATAAAATAATATTGAATAATTGGATTGGGAACTTAAGGGTCCGAATCCACCACTAGTTTTGTACCTGAAATTGCAAACTTGAATTATGAAATGAATGAGTGACACGAGCCAATTCCTCAACTACAAGTTAGGAATCGGAAAGAAGAATAAAGTCGCGTTTGAGGCGCAAGTACGCACTATCTCAACGGCACAGATTGTCCACTCTAAACTAGGGTTTGTGGCACAATCTATCTAGTCATAGCATAGTCCATCTTGGGTTCCGAATACAACAGAATGATAACAAAGTAAAACATTCATTCTCAGTCACAAAAATCGAATGAAGAGTAAAGATAGAAGAATATTAAATTGAAACTCAGAAGTTTTACAAAAATTACAATTAAAACATTACAAAACAAAATAGTACAACTCCAGTTACTTGGCTAGGGTTTCATCGAAACCCTAAGTAAGATGCTCAACCACTCATGGAGAAGGGAAGAGATGAGACAGAAATGGTGGTGATGGTAGTCTCCATTGATGATCAAAAACTCTTGCCTTGGCTCTAGTAGCCTCCCTCTTTCAATCCCAAAAAGTCAGAACCCTAGGAGAACCTTTTTTTCTTCCCTTTATTCTCAGAAAACTGAGTTGAAATTTTTGCGCATGCTTTTCAAGGTTGGCCGCATGTGCGGTGGGTTAGCGGGTGGTGAAGTTCCGTTGCTCGAGTGGGGGACTTGCTTGTGTGCCACTTTTCGCCTGAAATTGCATGTTGTTCACCAAACCCACGCAAGGACACTAAACACATCATCTCTGCCAAATAACCGTACTTCAAGAACTATAAATGTAACTTAAGTGGCCTCAATGTGGTGCTTTTCGGCCCATATCAAGCCCTCCACTCCATTTTCAGATGAACAACCACATAAGAAGAAAAAATTTGCATCTATGAACTATAGTTCGTAGTTGTGATGTGCCCTACCAAAGCAAGGGTCGCAGATGATACCACTCTATCCATTTAGCATTGATAGAGAATGATACCTCCTTGTCCATCATAAGTTTGTATAGTAGTGGATTTGTGATGGCTAAGGGTCCTGACCAGTGTTATCAAAGACACGCACCTAGGCATGAAGTGCACCAAAGCACCTCAACACCTCTTAAGAGTTCTGTATTTATTGTCAATTATTGCTATATTGTTCTAGGGTGCTTGTTAAAACTGTATTACTCCCATTGAACCATATGCAGCATGCCATTTCGTATTATACGTCACCATCAGTACTCAATATGTGAACTTCTGGTTCTTGGAGGTTACAACTTGCAACGAAAAGGAATGCACAAGATGCATTGTACCAAAGTTTTTCGTTTTCATTTTTTTTTATCATGGTAGTTTTGAAAGAGTAGTAGTTCTTATTGTAAATGTGTACATTGCAGTTGACTCTGTAGTAATTGCAGTGGAAGTTTCGTGATTGATAGATGGTTCTTTGTTGTCTTGATAATACATTTCCCGGTCAACATCCTGTTGATCGTTGGCTACAGCTCTCTTCATTGGGTATTTTAGTTTGTGACTCTTTACATGTTGAAGACAATGAAAGTGCCTTGTTTTTTCATTTAGCTTTCCTTGTTCTTGCATAATCACCAACAATGTAAAAGTTGTACATGCATCATAAGTGGTGTCATTGATTACTAGCTCGTGTCTGAAGAGATCACAGGATTCAACTTCCAGCTTGTTATACTGTCATCTTCTTGTGTGTATTTATGCTTTGTGACATGGATGATTTTGTTGCTTTTGGATTTGATGATATTATCAAATCAATTGACATTGATTTGTATGTCTCAAATACAATTCATTTATGAATCATGGCAGATGAGTGGCGGTAGAATCAAGACTGCAGGTAGATTCAGATCATGTCAACACATAGGTTGTTTTGATCTTGAAACTTTTGTTCAGCTAAACCAACGTTCCAGGAAGGCAAGTGGTCAAAATATTTTACTATTTTTTCCCCTCATCTCAGTAACTATATATGTACAAGTAAGCAATGTCATTCTGGTTGCAGTGGCAATGTCCCATTTGCCTGAAGAATTACTGCTTGGAAGATATTATCATTGACCCTTATATTAATCGCATCACAAATATGGTATAGCTTATGATTGACCTTGTGAATGAATTTTGGTTCATGTATTTTTATTTCTTACTGAATTTGTGGAACCTGTCTTATCTGTGTACTTTTTAAATTTGATGAAACAGATGCAGGACTGTGGAGAAGATGTAACTGAGATTGATGTGAAGCCTGATGGTTCTTGGCGTGTAAAGGATGGATATCAGTTCAAGAACCTTGGACAATGGCACCTGCCAGATGGAACTATGTGTGTTGCCACTGTCGAAATTGGTTCCAACTTGGAAGCCTCAGGGCAGATGAGAAAGGATGGTATTACAGGCCATATTAATACCAAACAAGTTACAATGAGGAGCACTTCCTATGAAAGTTATGGAGATGATGGAGACCAGAGTATCAGCAAGGATGGCACTGGGCATTTTGATATTTCTGCCAACAATGGCCGTGAAATCAATTCTATTTCGTACAACATCAATGCTACAGCTCAGACCATGAACATTAATACTTGTGGGTCACCAGGGGATAATCTGGATGTCATTGTTCTCAGTGATTCAGAAGAAGAGAACGCCAATTTCACTTCTCTTGAAACTGTCTCCTTAACTCCAGCAGGTAATAATGGTGTGCATTTTTTGTGTGCTTCCCGTTGAATTTTCAATGCGTACCTGAAAGATCCAGCTCTTGATGTTTGTATGAAATCTAATTTAGGTCTCTTCAACAGCAATGACAATGATTTTGAGATGTCTCACCTTGCATTTGCTTCTGGTACTCGAGTAGGTTCTGAGTTCCAACTATTTCATACAGATAGAGATGCCTCAGACGCTTTAATTGATTTAGGGTACACTCCAGTTACCTCTTCTACACCAAGAGATGGTTACACATTGAATTCTAAGTGCACTATGGATGCCGGAACAGATGATAGTATGGTTAGTAATCCCCTAACTTGTGTTTGTATGGACTCTGCAACCTCTACTTTCAACTTACCCGCTCTGTTAGTGCAGGTTGATGTGGGCAACAATCATTGGATATCAAATGGTATTGGTGGTGAGAATTTGACTTCTTTTGGGCTTGGCAGCAATAGTGGTGGTGGTAATGGTGATGTCAGTGTTCATGCTAAGCCTACACCCTCAAACCAGTTTGAATCAAATGAAGGTAGGTGTGTCTGCATGGAGCTAATCTTGCCTTTCCAACTTCTGGTTCTTGGAGTTATATACCAATTGAATGTTGAGAATTTTGACTTTTTATTTAGTAGTGAGTCCTATAAGGTTTTTCCATTTGTCTCTTGTTATGGATATTCTGTTGTAAATTGATGAATTTTCCTGAGAATATATTTGTCTCAATGTCATAAGAACCCTTAATTGATATCGGAACCAAAATTTAAACCTCACTACTGCATGCCAGGTTTTTCGTATCTTTATATTTGAATATTACATGTCTCTTGATGTAACGATTCTGCCTCAGTTCAATGCACAATGTTATGACCCCACTATGGGTAGGTTTGTGCAATTTTGGGCAGAAAAGTTGTTTCTGTTCTGTAGTCATAAAAACCAAATGATGGTTGAGTTTTGTAGGCTTTTTAGGTTGGTTGTACAATTAATATTCTTTTTTCTGGAAAGTGGGGTACTGGCATGCCAAATTTTCTCCCTGGAGATGCAAGGGTCAATATTTGACAACCTCATAATTGGTTGGCTGCACTCTCACATGCATTTGAAGTTTTTGATAATCATGTTTCTATTTTGTCAATTTTACTGAGTTTGGTTTCCACTATTTTGCTTATTGTTTTTCTTCAATGGCAGCTTCAGTACGTCCAGGTATGAATAATGGTGCCAAGTCTAGTGGGACAACTAATGGGAAAAGATCCTCTGGCCCTTTTTCATTTCCTCGCCAGCCACGGTCTGCTAGGCGTCCACATCTCCCTTAGATTCTGAAATGATTTACAAGGTAATTTGTCTTGCTTCAAGCTGGTTGCTTTGTTCACCTCAAAAAACACGGTAAAAACTAACTGGCTACATTATTGGGTCCCAAAATTCATGTGTTGTGATTTACATCTTCCCTTCCGCATCAGTTTGTATCAAAAAAACATAGGCAAACATTATTATACTCTTAATAAAGTTGAATATGGAGAGATAATAGAGATAGAAAAGAGAAAAGAAAGAACACAAAGGTTTAACGTGGTTCGGCTAATATTGGCGTACATCTACACACACTAAGCCCTAGGAGGCTACATCTTTCTTTCACACAACTTGATACTCTTGTTTACATGATACACCATATATATAGAGTGATAGATAGAATCAAATCCCTTCTGTTAAAGAATTGAAATAAATCAAAGATACAAAAGAATTATAATATGCACAAATCATGAGATCTCTATATATTCTGATATCTTTCATATCTTCTAATATCTTTGACAATATAATCTTATTTTCAATACTTCCCCTCAAATTGGAACACGGAATGGTTGAAGTGAAATGTCCAACTTCAAATCAAAAATAGGATGATCATTACAAACAACTACAATGAAGTTGTTGAAAGACAACAACAATTGTAATAATTCCCTTCAATGACAACTTCAAATAACATATATAAGGAATCATCATCTTGCAATAGAGAAATGTGCATGGAATTAGTCATGATGGCAGCAAGAGAAACCAACCGCGAGACAGAAAGCAACAAGGCCGAAGCAACTTGAAATCACCACAAACAGAAAGGCCCAAAAAAAAGGCGTCCCAAAAGAATGCTACCGAACACACCGGTAGCCCCAAAACAAAAAGGAACCAAATATGTGTTTACCACATTAGCATAGGGACCCTAAAAGGGTAGAGAAGTAGCCGGAAAACTGTGTATCACAGAATAATACTACCGAACACACCAGCAACCCTGAAACAAGTAAACATCACAAAGTTCGCTTACCACATCAGCAAATTAGTTGTCAACACAAGGAAGAGGGAAAAACACCTTGATAATAAAAAAATGTGGAGTGAGAAAGCATTCCATAGAGAAACATGCCTAGGATTCAGTAGGCTCTGATATCAAGTTGAATTTTGTAATAAAGCAATAAAGTTGAATATGCTAATGTTAGGTCGTTCCCCTCAAGTGACGCGTTGCGCCTGCCTCCGGGTGTTTCGAAAAGTGAGCAAAGGGCGCCGCATCAACGCCTGGGTGCGGTGAAAAATGGGTAAAGGTTTTCGCGTTTTTCTGGACGAGCGCGGGTAAAGAAGCTAGTCCAAGACTATAGGTTTAGGTAACCACTTGGAACATAGGAACCTTAACTGGTAGGACGATGGAATTGGTAGATGTTATGATTAGGAGGAGAGTTAGTATAGCTTGCATATAAGAAACTAAGTGGACGGGAGAGAAAGCTGGTGGATTAGTTAAACTAGTTATTGCCAAGGGTAGATGTCATAATTGTCAAGGGTCTTGTGGAAAGTGTGGTGGTGGTCACTAGGAAAGGAGATAGGATTATGCTAGTTAAACTAGTTATTGGAGGGAATATAGTAAACATTATTAGCGCTTACGCCCCTCAAGTAGGGTTAGATGATCAGATTAAGAGGGATTTTTGAGAGCAAATGGATGAGATCTTACAGGAGATACCCGTAGGAGAGAACCTGGTTATAGGTGGAGATTTTAATGGCCATGTGGGCATAGATAAACTAGGTTATGAAAGGGTGAATGGTGGATACGGTTTTGGTGACAGAAATGAGGCTGGAGAGAGAATCTTAGATTTTGCGTTGGCTTCTGACCTGGTGATGGCCAATACTATGTATAAGAAGAGGGAGGAGGATTTGATAACCTTTAAGAGTGGATTAGTTAAGAGCCAAATAGATTACTTCTTAGTGAGAAAAGTGGACAGCCTAAAATGTAATGATTGTAAGGTGATTCCTGGAGAGAGTCTGGTCTCTCAACATAGGATTTTGGTACTAGATTTATGTTTTAGAGGCAATACCAAGCTAGGAAGGATGGTGGGCGTCGTAGGACGAGATGGTGGGACCTAAAAGGGGATAAACTAGAAATATTTAAGAATCGAATGGATAAGGAAGGGTAGGCCTAGATCAACGTTGACTAGCGTTATAAATAGAGATATGAATCTACTTAATTTGACTAATGAAAATGGCCTTTGATAGGGTCGCGTGGAGAAGAAGGATTCATGTAGCTGACCCCATTTGATGGGACTTAAGACTTGGCTTGGTTTGGTTTGGTTTGGTGTATGAAGAGATAATAGAGATAGAAAAGATAAAAGAGAAAAGAAAGAACACAAAAGTTTAATGTGGTTTGGCCAATATTGGCCTACATCTACACACACAAAGCCCTATGGGCCTCATATTTTATTCACACAACTTGATACTCTTGTTTACGTGGTACACCATATATATAGTGGTAGATACAATCAAATCCTTTTAGTTAAGTAATTGAAATAAATCAAAGATAAAAAAAGAATTATAATATACACAAATCATGGGATCTTCATATATTCTGATATCTTCCATATCTTCGACAATATAATCTTATTTCCAACAAAGTGGATATCTTAATTGCAGCATCCAACATGAATTTCTTAAGTTCTTGTGGAACTAAGTTGATCATGATCCCAACTATGTAGCCCAGTTAATTTAACCTCGACGTTAATTTATTTTTCAAGATCGCAATTTTATTGATTTATACAGATGTACACAAGTATCAATTGATGCAACAGTTTCAGTTTAGGGAAGAATGAAGTAAAACTTTTAACTATTTCAGTTAATCATTAGTTGTCCATTGCAGTTTATCATTGGCAAATATTCTAAGAGGTGTTAGCAACAAGAGTTCCTCAAATATTACGAAAGAAACTTGGCAACAACAAATTTTGTCCCATCAGAATTTGCATTAATTACTTGCTCGAGACATGTAATCACTATTTGTTTTATTTTCTATTGTTAGATATAATATAGAATAGTGACTCACTAGTTCAAATAATATTTCTATGATATTATATTGAGATTATATATTCTATACTCGTTTAAATTTTTTTAAGATATGGATCACTTGATAAAAAAATTGCTTTAGATTAGAAGTGTTATTTCTTACAGTGCAAACATTTAAAACTCTTATCATAACCTTTCTGATTTCTTTAAGGTTGCGGGTCACTTTGGCATGAGGAATCAAAATGAGAATCACATGCTTTACATGGCAACGTAGGGGGGGTAGGCTTATATATAGATCATGTTATTAGAATGCATTTAGGCCATGTTTGTTTGGGCGGACTGGATTAGCATTCCCATGACTAATAGTCCTAGGACTACGAATCCATTGGATTATGTATCCTATCTTAACTAATAGTCAAGTTTAAAATAATTAATCCGTACTTCAATTGTTTAACCAAACATCGGATTAATAATTTTATTGAACTATTAATCCAATCCAAGCTCATGTCCACCCAAACAAACATGACCTTAGGGTACTAATAAATATGAGTGATTTTATATTAACAATTAGATATTTAATGAGTGTACTCATATTTATTGAGGTTATATATTCTATACTCGGCCGTTCTGAACCATATATTCTAAATGCATTTATATATGCTCTGCCATTCTGAACCATGCCAAAACATGAATTGTGAGGGTAATTGGTGCTCTTTGCAAACTACTGTGTACTTAATGTCAATTTTTCCTTCCTTATAATTCTGTTTCATTCTTTCTCACTTTACTGCCCTATTGTTTTTCAAAGTATATGTTATTGTTCCAACTCTACCCTTACATTTGATATGCTTTTATTTACAAATTTTTTACCCTTGTAACATAGCACGTGATATTTGGAAGGTAAATACTTAGACTTATTAAAGGTTATCCATGGTATTTTAAATTGCTCCAAGGATCAGATTATTCGCTGGGCTTGTTAGTTCACTGCTCCAAATCATTTTCAGGATTTGAAGATTAGCAGGAAATCAAGTCATGGTTTGGGCTCAGTTTTGGAGAAACCTTTCTGTGTTAGAAGGGATTTTGTGTGCATATTTGAAGACCCTTTTGTGATGACTTTTTGATGTACCATATTATGTGGTTCTGATATGTAGTCACATATTGGCCGTTTTGTACATTTGGTCAGGACCTGTAAATTGTATATTTCTTTTGCATATGAGAATGGATGATGACTAAGATATTTGATCTTATTATGATGTATGTTTTTGCTGCAAATCAAATAAACAAATCATAAACAGGATCACTAGTGTTTTTGTGTGAACATGCGTTTGGTTTGGGACAATAAAAACAAATTTATTTAAAATTATTAATATTTGAACATATGTTAATTATCTCAAGTTGTACTCGGCTTGGCAAAGAAGTAAACATGGTTGGAAAACAATCTTGCTAACGAGGCAACAGTTAAAAGATGTGTTTGGATTGTGGATTTGAGTATGGATTTAGAAAGGAGAAAGGGAAAAAGGTGAGAGAAATATAAATAAAATCAGCTGAAGTTTTTCTCTATTTCTTTCTCTCTGTTGTTGTTCCTCTAAAATTTTATCTAAATCTTTGATTTACTCAGTGTTAAGGGAAACGTTATTGTTAAATATTAATTAGCGCTACAAATAGTAAAAAAAAACATAGTGAGGACTAGAGTTGTGCAAAATATTGCTTAATTTATTAAAATTGTACTAATCTACACCGATTTATCTGCTAATTGAGGATTAAACTTTGAAATGTATAATCGGTTTTAAAATTGCTTTGTTCTGTTATAATTAATAAATATATTTTTTTTAACCTATTCACTCAAAAAAATATATTTTTTTTTAACCTCCAATAAAATATCAAAGTAAAAATTGGCGATTTAAGATGTGAAAATTGTTATAAATTAATAATTATATATATGAAAAATATTATGTAAATACTTGATAATTGTTTAAAAACATTCTTTAGTCAACTACCAAATTGAAACCACTCCAAACCACCCAAATCTCGATTTAATTATTTGTCAATCCGTCATTCATGATTTAATTTATAATTTTACTCTTAAATTGTTTGAATCGCACCATGCACACAAGCTTAAAAGAATAAAGAGAAAACACTTAATTTATAATTTTACTCTTAAATTGTTTGAATCGCACCATGCACACAAGCTTAAAAGAATAAAGAGAAAACACAGATAAAAATAGAAAGGGAGGAAGTTATTTAAAGGACTAATAACGACACCTAAACAATTGTAGCATTATTATCTTTCTTTCACCATCCCATTTTCCCCCAAATTTCGAGTTCGGTTAGTAGTTTAGTAAAAATGACTCCTTATATTTTGTGGATTGAAATTGTCTTCAAATATTTTTTGCTGTATTTGAAAAAAATGTATGTTCAAATGCCGTCATGTTTCTTTCTTGAACACTATTTGAGAAAATCATCAGATTAGTTGTATTTCATTCGAAAAATCTCATGTGGAAGTTAAAGAGTTGTTTTTCAATTAAAAATCATAAAAGTGTTTTATTCATAACATTTAATGAATAATGATATGCATATTGATAAGCTTTGCTTGAAATTGAGAAATTATTAAATATTAAACTAGGGTGTTTATTTCTTAAGCCCTAAAAAGTGTGCTTCTTGCCATATTTTATGATTTTTGGTATAAAAGTTATGTTGATTAGCTAACTTTGAGATAATGATTGATTATTAAGATATATGAAATTTGGAAAAATTGGCTTAGTTTCTTGGAATGAAAAATGAACTAGTTAAAAGGATAGTTTGATTTGGAGTTGTGTTGGTATTTTAAAGATATATTTTTTTAAAGTTATATTTGATTATTAGTTTTATTAGTTCAAGCATTTAATCGATATTTTTATACCTTAAGTTTATACCTTAATTATTTGAATTGTATGGAAAAAAAAAAAAAATGGCAAGAAGGAAATGTAAAATAAAGAATGGAGTGGGCATTTGATGGGGAGGGACAGGGTGAGTGGTTGTTGGGGAAGGAAAATGAAGGCCTTTTATCATGCTCCAATTTACAAACATTAATTAGGCATAAAGTAATTAGCTTAGGCATGAGTTCTTTAATAAAACAATTCCTCTTTTACTTGATTCATTCTCAAAATCATTTTTTCATATCCATTTGCTTCCAAAAATGTGTCCATGGGCTATTAATGGTGGGGTCAGTAGCTTTTTTGAGTTTATTTTATTGTTAAATTAAATAATTAGGTTACTTTTCAAAAAAAAATTGCCCAGAATAGGTTAAAGCATATCAGATGAGTAGGGGTTGGTATCGACCTGTCCAGTTCAATTTTATTTTTTTAGAGTTTGAAAAAGTTGTTTTTAGCCCATAAGACTTGGCGGAGCCAACATTTTCAGATTGATATATTAATGGGCAAAGTTTGGAATTTATACTTTAACCCAACCCGGTGCGGCCCGACCTGCTATTAAATTAATTAATTATAATATATTAAAATTTATATTTTTGTTGAGATGTAGACTTAAGCCTCTTCCCAAATAGAGGCATTGATTTTATTAAAACTCATATTTGTGTTGATGTTTGATTGAATTTATTTAAGAAATCCTTCAATTTATACACAAAATCTTTTAATTTATAATGATGTCAGTATATGTATTTAAAAAATATAATGTGTGATCAAATTTAATTATGAAATGTTTTAAATTTTTTTTAACATATAGCTTAATGGGTGGATTTGGGATTTATAATTATTTTTTGGGGTGAGCTTGGGCAAAAGTAAAGGCCCGATGTTAGGGCCGGGCCAGGCTTGGGCTTAGATAAACATAAACAGAAATGATACATCTCTTTAATTTGGGAGTTCTTAAAGAACACTAATGATGTGGAAAATAAAAAAAATAAAAAAAAAACTAATGCCAAAACATCACATTACATGAGACCTACATACCAATTAGAGCTATTAGAGCGCTTAATTTAAAATTCTCAATCAGTGTGTTTGGTTTGAGTTTTTTGGATTAAGTTTTTGAAAACTGAGTTTTTTGGTTTTCGTGTTTTTTTGGTTTTAGTGAATATTTTTAAAATTTTAAACATTTTTTTTTACTTTTTTGGATGCACCTTACTTAGATGTATCTAAAAAATAAAAAATTTGTGAAAAAATATTTTAAAAAATTAATAAATACATAAAAATACAAAAAAAATGTACTAAATTCTCTCTTTTTTTTGTATCTTTGGTATTTAGTGAATTTTTAAAAGGTTTTTTTTCACAAATTTTTTACTTTTTAAGTATATTTATGTTAGGTATGTCTAAAAATTAAAACAATTGCTTAAAATATTAAAAAAACTCAATAAAAACAAAAAAAAAAACGAAAAATAAGAAAGTAAAATTTTTTGAAAAGTATTTTTTGAAAACTATAACCAAACAAAGTGTATTTTTTCAAATATAAAATTCCTTAGTATAAAATGTTGATCCGGCCCGACCGAACCAACGAATGATCACCTCTACATATGGGTGTCATTATAAATACGCTTTAACCCATCCTGAGCAATTCTTTGAAAAGCAGGTTAGTTATTTAATTTGGTGTAACATTGAAAAATGTCTCAATTTCTGTTTATTAAACTTATCTTGACTTTAGATGATAAAATGAAGTATTTTTAAAGTGAATCCAGTTTATATTGGGAAGTATGCCAAATTCATTATTTTTCGATAAAAATAATGTTGAAGTGATTTTAAAACAGGTGATTCTCTCAAATGTAATATTCACTCACTCGCATGTTAATCCATGAAATAAAATACAAACATATATGAAAAGAAATAAATAAAGCATTAAGTTTACGGATCATAAATTAATTATATTAATTTGAACAACAAAGATGTGGCTCGCAAGCCTAATTAATCTATGTTCTACACTGCAAAATAAAAGTAGTGTTTAGAAGAGTTTTAGAATTATGATTTGAGAATAGAATTGTATTTTGAGTTTGTGAGTTTTGAAATTACAATTCGAGTGTGGAAAATTTGTTTAGTTTTGAGTTTTAAAAAGAGTTTTAAATTAAATTTGAATTGAGTGATGTGACATATGATATTTGATATAAAACTTACAACTCATAACTAAACACACAATCCAAAATTCTATTTAAAGTTCATAAAAAAATTTTAAAAAATTTCACAAATATTTTTTTTGTAATATAAAAAAAAAAACCGAACACTGTTCCAGTCAACCGATTGATCAACTTGCCGGATGACCAATGAAATGTCCGGTTAGCCCAAATTTTCACGCCTTGGAAGGAGTTTTCAAAAGTGAGTATGAAATTTGATGATACAGCGGGTTCCAGATGGAACGGGTCGAGCTGATCCACGCTTCCCAAACCGGTGTCCAAGTGATCAAGCCCACTAGAAGACCTGCACACGAGTTCAATGGAGAACGGGGAGTCCCCCAGTGAACCCTCCGACGAGCAAGTTAGAGAGAGAAATAGAATGTAGAGATAGATTAGAGATAGAAAGCTTAACATTCTTTTTGTCTTCGACGTCTGCTTATATCCTCTAGTAATCATTTTGTTGTCCCTTCCGACCTGTCTCCTTGGCCGAAAGTCTATGCTCTAGCTCACCTTGTTCATGGTAAAGCCGTTCTGTCCCGACGGAGAGGGGTTATCGCAATAAATGCTGTAAGGGGCTTTATTAATGGCGATGTGCAGTGACCATAACTTTGCAGGATCTTTGTCTGCTTATGTGGCTTGTCCTTCACCTGCCACGTGTCTGAATATCATTGGTTCTTAATGCCATGTTAACTTTCAGCTATGTTGGGTCTCATCAGTTGAATTATGCAATGGGCCCTAAGTGGTAGACTTGGGTTGTTCATAGTAGGCTATAGCCTTTATGGGCCTATCCATGTCAGTAGTCCCCTATTCCCAAGTGCAGCTTTAGACCAACGAAGGGAATAATTAAGAAAGTGAGAGTTGTGAGAGACCGACAGAGTGAAGGTCGACCGAGATGAGTGACCAACCATAAGGAGGACAGACCGCGAAGGGTGGCCGAGTGGAAAGACCGATCATGAGAAGGGCCGACCGCGAAGGGTGGCCGAGTGGAGGGACCGATCATGGGGAGGGCTGACCGCGAAGGGTGGCTGAGTGGAGGGACCGATCATGAGAAGGGCCGACCGCGATGAATGGCCGAGTGGAGGGACCGATCATGAGGAGGGCCGACCGCGAAGGGTGACCGATCATGAGGAGGGCCGATCACGAAGGGTGGCTGAGTGGAGGGACCGATCATGAGGAGGGCCGAGCGTGAAGGGTGGCCGAGTGGAGGGATC